ATTTGTCCAGAAAATAATGAGATGGTAGGGTTGCAACAAGAACAAATTTAGTTGAGTTAATGAAAATATGTTTGACTTGTGGAAATTAAAAATTATTGAATGCTAATTGCTAAATTGATTTTGAGAAAATAGTTAACAATAAACCAAAAATAATAATCAAATAATTCAAGTGTGACATCAACTAAACTCTAAAGCTTGATTCTCGAAAAAGATTAAAGAATTTTATCAACAAAATGGCCGCCAGTCAACTAAATTTTATCAGATCAAAATAGGCGCATAAAACAGAGTGTATACCAAATTTTACAAATGATTTTTGTCCAAGGACAGAATGTATCTGTACATTAGTCTAAACCAGACAGACTTTATTTAATCAACTAGCAGGCTGTCGACTGAGATAGCTCCGCTGTTATCAATGCACATTTCAATTAAAAAACTGAAGATATCATGTAATATGTATAGTATTAAAGCAATGAGACTTTTTATAACTTTTTATCAAAAATATTCATTAAAATTAGATAATTGAAGAACAAAATCATCACAAAATGAACAAATCTGAGAGAGGTCTACCTGTAGTACCTATGTAGTATATATAATATCAAAGCAATCAGACTTGCGGTTTTTAACAAGAAGTCAAAATATCACTTTTTACCAAAAATGACAAAATATTCATGAAAATTAGAGAATTGAAGATATCATCACAAAATGAGAGGGGTCCACCCAAGGTACCTACATACCAAGTATCAAAGCATTCAGGCTAGCGGTTTTCAAGAAGAAGTCAAAAATAGCATTTTTGACCAAAAATGACAAAAATATTCACTATAAATAAGACAATTGAACATATCCACACGAAATGAACAAATCTGAGAGAGAACCACCCAAGGTACCTTCCTAGAAAGTTTCACAGCTATACAGTTTGTGGTTTTTAAGAAGAAGTCGAAAATGTAAAGTTGAAGACGGCGAAAGCACAGACGGACGCCGACAGACAATCAGTAATACCATAAGCTTCGCGTGACTTCGTCGACAGCGGAGCTAATAAAACAAATAACAACTCAATGTGTATATGCAAAACATTACTTGTACCAACTATGAACTAAATCATGTCTGAGAAATGATATTGGGTGAATAAAACCTAAATGGGGAATAAATATGCAAAGAATACACACCTTTCTCCGGAGTCTGTCTCTATCGTCTCGTACCCCAACCATGCTGCATTTTAGTTTACTTATGTCTTCCTCTTGTTGACACAGCGTTGAGTTGAGAGTTTCATTTTCTTCTTTAATAACTGTGAGTTCTTGTTGTATATTTTCTACTTGGCAGTGACATCCGCAGCAATCACCGACAACGTCCGTTGTATCGTTGACGGCAAACTGCAATGACTCAACATCTCTGACAGCCTGTACAATAATACACACTCAAAATTAGCCTGACAAGCTCACGTGAGTTGCGCCCTCTATGATGCTCCAAACCCAACACACGCCTGACAGAACCATGTAGTTTTTCACTCCCCCCAATTTTTTGTTGGCACCAACCAAATTGCAGGAATGTAAGATAGTGACAACCAACAAGGAGTTTATTTATTTGTTGACATAATTTGTGAAAAGATGTTGGCAAATTTCCACCCAATGTTTATCATCTTGTTGAAAACAGTCCATGTTTTTTGCTGACAATGCAAACACAGCTTTGATTGATGGTGTTACCATGACCACCAAAATGAAACTCATTGCAAGAAGGCGTAAACTGTTTGAATTCGCAGTATTGATCAATTCTGTCAGGCATTCTGTTTGGCCGGCAAAGACGCTATACTTACGCCTACATGTCAGGGTAACTCAAAATAGGTGGAGGTGGTATCTGTAAAACCATTTATTTTCAGTAACATTTAATTTTAATATTTTTGAACATAATTCACTAGG